AATTTAAAATACCATACCGAAAATTTAAAATACCTAAAAGGATGGGGCAATCCAAGAAACATGAAGAATAAGCATACAATGAACATGTAGTAAGTTAATGGTTTTCAATTTACAATTAGCCAAAAAAGGTGAAATATTTGCAGATCCTGAGAGATGTCTTGATATAGGAAAGGTGACTTATTTTACTGTGACATGTCTTGATATTGCTTATCAAGTGCATGTGCTGAGCCAATATACGTTTTCATCACCAACTGTTGATCATTGAAAAACAGTAGAATTCTAGACACGAAATTCTATATAACAATCATGATCATACTAGAACCGAATGTTTTTCAAATTTGGATTGAGCATGATGCAAAAAAGGTGAGAAATATAATTCAAGATATTATGCTTTTATTAGGGGAAACTTGATTTCATGGAAGAGTAAGAATCAAAATGTGATCCCACGATCAAGTACAGAAACTGAATACAAACCTCTGACCAAGTTTGTCTGTGAAATCATATGGGTATATAAGCTCAATGAAGTAGGAATTAAGGTTTCAGTACCTGTAAAAGCCATAGTGTGATAATCAAGCTGCACCCAATATTGCGTTTAATCCTATCTTTCATGAATGGTAAAAAACTTAGAGGTTGATTGTTTGCGAAAAGATCCAACAAGATTTGATTACTGCCAACTATGTGAAAATTGGACTAGGATATATTTTAACAAAGATTCTTAACAGGGTCCAAATTGATTTTCTAACAAGTTCACATGATTAATATGTATGCTCCAACTTGAGAAGGAATGCTACAGATTTGCAGGCTAAATCTTAGGAATGAAATATTGTAATTAATGTAGGATATTACGTTACCTATTATAGGAGCTTTATACTTGATTATATACCCATACAATTGATGAATAAAATACACAAGAATCATTATTCTCTCCTTTTCTGCTTTTACAAAGATAAAGGAGATAAACAAATTGTTGGTTGCCCAGATGCTAATTGGGCAGGATCTCCCTTAAATAGATAGTCTACTTCAGGATATTATGTTATCTTTGGGAGAAATCTAATATCTTGGAAGAGTAAAAAGTAAGATGTTGTAGCAATGTCAAGTGCAGAAACAAAATATTGAGTTATGGCCCGATTACTTGTGAACTTATCTGGCTGAGACAATTGCTTAAGGAATTATATATATGAAACTATTAGTCTCATGAAGTTGATATCTGATAATCAAACAGCATTGTATATTGTCTCCAATCTAATGCTTCATGAAAGAACAAAACACAATGATCAATTGCCATTTTGTGAGACAAAAAATTGAGTCAGGATACACTACCACAAGTTTTAAGAAAATAAAAACGAAAATGACCTTTATTTTCTGAAACTAAGAGCAACCTATTTCTCCTATTTTTCTCCTTTTATTTTCTCCTCCTTCAATAGTCATTCTTTTCTCTATTTTATTTTTATTCACAATTTACAACATCAAATCTAAGATACTTCCATATGATTATATTGCAATAGATTTGCTACGTATTAAGTTTTAGTATAAAAATAATTGAACAAAGTCAACAAAACAAGAGGATGGGAACAAATGTTTCATTATAACAATTAACAACCAATAAACAGATCTGAAATGGCATACCTGTGACTTGAAAGAGCAAAGATAGTTTTGGATAGTCTTGAAGTTCGTTATTAGACTCTCTGTATCCTGTAAAAGGGGAAAAAATAACAAATGAGGTTAAAACAAAAAACTTGATCAAGTAAATAGTTGATCAAAGAAATAAACAATGACAAACAGCAATGTAGAAGAAAAGGAATCGACAGTAATCAAAAGGAAAATTCAAGATATCAAGTTATCAACACGCCCACTTTTGACCACAAAAAATGAAGCAGAAGTTTTGCAGATATGGACATGGTTAGAAGGTGTCATTTCACGCCTTAGAATGCCTTTTCAAATGGTCCCAACTTGACAAAAGTTTCAAAATTTATGTTATACAATTATTTTTTTCTAAATGGACATTTAAATATTCTCTAAGGTTTTCTGTGTCTTTGGAGGGTCATCTTCACGAAATCTTTCGATCATAGGTTTCAAGCAGTGTACTTCAAAAAATGAAGAGTTAAAAGAACATAGACCAAATCACATTTCTCTAGCTTATGAGAGTTATGAACAAGTTTCACGAAGTATAAAAATTCAAGTGATTGCACTCGGAGTGAAATAAAAGGAGTAAAAAACTCCCAGCAACTGTACAAGACAACTTACATATGTTCTTGGGATGTCACAATATTCTAGGCAAGCAAAAAGTAAAGCTTCAACAAATCTACACAAAGATTATACTCTGAAACTATTAGTATTAACAGCAAATTCAAGGGAAGGAAGTGCATGAATTTGATTGTTTCCAACCAAATTTCCAACATCCATTTTCCACACAAGTCGAGGGTTATTCCTTGAATCAAACTGTATAAGTACAAACCGTACTTAAGACTAGCCCTTTGTTAGAGAACGACTATTAATATTCCAGGAGAAAGAAAACAACAAATCAACCTAGATGTCTAATTAAAGATTCTCCATGATAGCAAGCAATGCCCCACAAAGCTTTTTGTCAAATGGAGTTATCTTTCTGCCAAGACAATAATTATTTGACCTTAAAAAAGCAATGCAGTTAGTGATGGAACAAGAAACAATAATTGTTCTTAATACCTGGACTGGACATTTACCACCTAATGTATGAGTAGCGATTCTCTCCTCTAGTGATGTCTGCATATAGATGTTGATTTGAATTTAGGAAATCATGCAAGATTGAGAAAAGAGATCATACGAGGAAGCAGGAGAAATACAGTCCCAGTTAAAGAAAAACACCTTCATAATATCTTGAATAACCATACAAGAACCTGATTAAATCTTTTAACAAATGACACCTTCATACTATCAAGAATAGCAGTCAAACAGACCCATCTGTTTATAAATTTTCATTTGGAATAGCTTATCCACAAAATGGAATCTTCCAATTAATCTCCACAATTCACTAAATGAACCATCTATACTCTTGAGAATTCAAAATCCTTAACAAGGTGTTTTCCTCTCTGTACAAATAAAGTTTCTAATAGTACAGGTTATATCAGAAGAGAGAGATTTAGAAAGTGAATCAGAACCATAACTGGCGTTGGATTTTTGCTTCATGTGAATATTAATTGATATCTCCTCCATTTTCTCAGTTTAGCCATTTGAGCCACATTATTTACTAAAAGAAATTTAACACATGCGCATCTATAAGCTTTTGTGCTTTACTAGTTAAAGCTGAATATAGGAAAAGTAAAATGAGAAGTAACCATACCTTGTGATCAAATTCAGACATCTTCAGAACTATGGTATTACTATTGGTTTAGGGCCAGATTTTTCTTTGCTAGCAGTATTTCCATTTCCTTCTGGTACCTTAACAGTTTCACCTGCACAAAGACAACCACTGTCAATAAATAGTCAAATTGCACCTTCACATAGCCTCTAAAACTGACACATACAATATGCTTAAAATGTCATGCAATGCCATACCAAATACAAAGAATTTACAGTAGAAATCCACCTTTACCACCAGAAGCAGTTGCTAGAGTGATCGACTTTAAAGATTCTGAGACTTTGTTCACCTTGTCAACTGACACGTCTTCAGCCACATGCACAAGATGGTCATGGCCATTTTCTGTGTTGCTTTGAGAAGTAGTAGTTAAATTATTTTCCATTTGCACTGCAGATTTATCGTCTGATGCCATGGACAGCGGGGCTGGTCCATGCACAGAGGTTGGTGTTTTTAGCTCATCACTGATTAAATAAATGCTAGGATCCAAGTGTATTCTCTGTTATTGTCATAAGAAAGAAGGAACTCGCTAACTCAGTGACACATCAAACTGCAGAACATGCCAATGCTTTCCAATTTCATTCAATGACCAGTGAGGGAAAATGCCATATAATGAACTAAAGCAGATTAGAACTTTCTTCAAGGTTTGCAGTGAAACAATGAACAGATCTGAAGGCAGTCCGCACATTCCACAAATAAATGCATGCATGTACGTTCAAAGACATACAGTACTCCACAAGAAACCATTATCACTAGATCTTTTTATTTTAATTGTTACATTCAAGAATTCACGGACCACAATAATAATAAAAAGTAAACAGAATTATTAGGGTTGAAGCTCAGATTTGATTAAAAAATTAGCTGAAAATACAACAGAAAAAACAAGTACTGAATGTGTTCATGAGTAAAATATACTCATTCATGGAAAAGAAGCCCGTAATCTGCTAGTGCCCATGCTTATTTTAATGTGCAAACTCAGAATTCATGTCCACACCACTCTTAACGAATGCTACACAAACAGACAACACCAAAAAATCTATTTCCCAGCAACGTTATACAACCACTTTAAACTGTTTGATTTTGTTTCTGACATAGAACCACAGTAGTTTAATAAATTAAAAAAGGGAAAGAAATAATTAATATGAACCACAAACACTCAAAAACGTTCACCGTATAGGCATGCATATATCACATATTAATTCTTGAGCTCATAACGGTGAAGTGGTATCACCACTGAATGTGCTCTCTAACAAGGATGTCACAAAAAGAAAGAATCAGCAATATAGTGTCAACAATACCTCGATTATAATTGGCTTTCCATCTTTCATTGCCTTTTTTAGATCTCCATTCAACCCTCGGAACCAAACACAAGTTAGTGATGAACATACCTTAGAATACAATAACAAATCTAGAAAGAAGGAAAATTTATGACATGTCTCCAGGCAATCTCCCGTTTTTACACTAATAGAAAGAGGGGGGAAATCATAATAACTAAATGGAAATTTCAGAAACTACCTTTGCGAACTATCCTGCATTCACGGCAAAATTCAGTAATTAACTCGGAGAAACTAAAATTCCGTGCCCATACCGTGCCCATACAGGAGTAGATGCTAATGGTGCACTGAAAAAAATAAGAGAAGCAAGCATTAAAATAATATATATGTGCGTATTAAGCACCATACAATCTGTTAAGAGTAGGACAATCTGCTTCCTAATAGACATAGCGTAGAAGAACATTTTCAACCAAATACAATGTGGTACATGTTCTTCCAATTTTTCTTTTAATTTTATTTCCAATTAAATTCTGTTATGAGTTGCTAATTAAATTAGTTGAAGATTTATCAGTCCTTTGGAAATCAAGGTAAAAACGTAGACAACCCATGAGCTACAACAAGCCCAATGCTGGACATAAGTCCAATACCATACAATCCAACTAAAATGCCCCAGGAAGATGATGAAAACATTTCAGAGGTTCTGGATGCTGCTGAGGGGAACGGTGACAAAGATGGCTAAGGAATTGGATGGTTTTGCATAGCACCTTACCCGGAAGAAACGTCCTAGTTTATTATTCCATTTTATTTTCTTGTTTTTGACTGGTTAATATACCATATGAACGTTATGGAGTTGAGTATAATAAAGTACTCTGTAATGGTGATGATTTATGAAAATATTGAATCATATTCTCCCTTCTATCCCATCTCTTCTTTTCTTCCCCAATTTCTATTTTCTCTCGTTTCGGTCTGTGACATTCAAACAATCAAAACTCATCTATGAGCCATCCAATTTATCTCTAAATTAAATTAAAATGACTTCAAAACAAAGCCATGCTTTGGCCAATCAAATTTCAAGGATCATGCGCCATAATCTTTTATCTCTAAAAAAACTGAACTAATTTAAGGTAAAGTTAACAAGGTTAAGTTCTTTTAGAATTATCTTATGTCACATCATCAAGCACTGTAAATAGAGAGCTCTTCCAAGCCATTTGAAATACATCGTGAGGAAAGAAACTGAAGACTATGGGGAAAGAGAATCAAGACAATTCAGAAGATATGAAGAACCAAAGTCTTCAGATCTCTCGCGAGTTAATCGATCGATGGAATTGGTCAAGAGGAGGTGAATTGGCAATTAAAATTTTGGTAAAAGCTTTTGCAGAAAATTGAAAAGATTTGCACAGCGATTTAGAGTGGTTCAACTTTCTCAACCAAAGTCTACGTCCACTAAACTATCCACACTAAGGATTTTCCAACAAATTCACTCATTTGTTCCTTCTTTTGAGCCCAAAGAAATAACCTTACAACTCCCTCAAGAATATGCCCCAATTCTTGAGAACACTCTTTCTCAAAGAGAATATTACAAATTTGCAAACTTACAAGGAAATACTCACAAGGTAGATTGTTTGCAATTCTAGAACAAAGAAAAACACTAAAAAGAATACAATTGAGTACAAGTAGTGTTCTTGAAAGCAAAATAAATATTGAATGAAAAATAGGCTTGAAATGCTCAAACTTGAGGTTTGATGTTTTCTCTTTGATTCTCTCTTGATTCTTGTTTCTTGTGTTTTCTTGTTTTTCATCAATGATTTCTAAGTTTGTTTAAATACTCCTTCAAATGATTCTGATCGTTGGGGATGATTAGTGGAGTCAATAGAGTTGTTTAAGTGTGAAAACAATTAATTAAATCAGTTGGGAGCGTCAGTGCATCGATGCATACCCAAGGTGCATCAGTGCATCAAGTGTAAAATTCAAATATTTTGACCGTTGGACCCTTAGTACATCGGTGCACTAAGAGTGCATCGATGCATAAAATGCATTCGATGTTTCAAAATAGCCTGAGTGCATTGATGCATGGCTGGTGCATCGATGCATCAAATGCATTCGATGTTTTCATAAAACTCTGAGTGCATCGATGCATAGTATGTGCATCGATGCATGTGCATCGATGCATGAACATTCGATGTTCAATTTATTCTGTGGTGCATCGATGCATCACTTTGAAAAATTGATTTTAGGTTTGATTTTGGTTCAAAATACTTTGTGAAAATTGTTTCAAAAATATATTAAGTATAAAACACAATTTACAAATTTAGTAAGATTTGAAAATTGATCTTGAAGACTTGAGTAATAATTTGATATTCGAGTAATTAAATCGAATATACTTTAGAAAATCATTTGTAAAATCTTAAAATTCATTTATACTTAATTTGTTATATCGAAACATCAAAATGTTTTCAACAGCAAGTTTAGCCTTTGCGCAAGTAGTGTAGCTATTGTAGACTTCCCAACACAGGCAGTTCCACAAACAAGAATTACCAAAGGAACTCTCTGATGGTGAAATCTGAAAGTTAGAAACAAGAAAAACAGTTACTAGTGAAATGCTGACACTCAGAAGTTCCTTATTTTGTTTTGCCCTCCTACATAAAGTCAGTAGCAACTTATGAATCAATGAAAATGTTGCATGCACAATCAAAATTGAAACTATTCCAATCAGGGTTTCAAAAAAGGTCCGCGACCACGATTTCGTCCGCGATATAGCGGTTTCGCCGCTGTCCGAGTTACCCGCGACGGCCGCAATCACGGTAAATCCGAAATAACAAAAAACGTGACCGCGACCGTGATTTGAAACCCTGATTCCAATATTACTAGTGTCTTCAAGTCAGTAGCAACTTATGAATCGATGAAAATGTTGCATGCACAATCAAAATTGAAACTATTCCAATATTACTTGTGTCTTTATGTTCATTATATTAGGGTGAAAACATAGATTGAACCTACTCCTACAAACCAGTGCTCTCTAGCATAATAAAATAGATATTTACTCTCAAAGGAGAAAAACTGTTGTTATACAGAACAAGCAACCACAATTATCTCACCTTCTAGAGGAGGCTAAGGTTAGATGATACTAAACATGTGATAAATAAGTTCAAAATTTTAGAAAAATGATTCTAGAGTCAGCCTTATAATAATGTTTGGCACCATATAGAGAACTTGAAAAGCCAACTGAACTGACCTGGTCATCATCTTGTACCGGTTTACATAGGCTAACCCATAACCTCGCCAGCTGCATTAGCTGCACACAGAATTCGATTAGAAACTTTCCACAAAAGTACATTTGATCTCCAAAAGTCTGAATACCCTCTACTTTTCATCGAAGGGAAAATTCACAAATTTTATGAAGAATACCTTAAAAAGATTAGCCTCTAAATCGTATTGCGAGCTGCGGGAAAATTCAATGAACAGAACATTAATAAAAAAATACTAGATAAAAATCATGAAACTAAAACTAAAATAGAAAGAGAAGGGAATCATACATATCTAAAAGGTTGTTGTCTATAAGCAGCTTCTTGAGCTCAAGAGCGATTTTAACAGCGACATGATTCGGAATCTGAAACAGAAATGCCATAGCTTTAAATATATATAATATAGAGAAAACACTAAGCAATTCAAGTTAGCATATACTAAGAAAAAAAGTATATCTAAAAAACAAATCCGAAAAATGGAATGTGTACCTTCGTGACCGTTAACATTCTGCTAAGCAGAAACCTGGATAAAACATAATAATGATCGGCATTTTCACCCAACCAGACCTTCACCTACAACGCCAGGAAATGAAAAAAAAAAAACATATTAAAATCGGTGGATATAAATAAAAAACGATTAGTTTAAATGGAATTCCGAGAAGAGAGGGAGAGAGAACCTTGACGAAATCATATTTAGATGAAACGTTACGAGGACTGAATTTTCCGGCTGGGTTAGATCTCGTAATCTTGTCCTCGTATACCTGCGTCACTTTGATTGATCTCAACTCTTGTTCGCACTGCAATTTCCTTGCCCTTGTTGTTGTTGTTCATCGCCTTCTCACATTCTCTCATTTTTTTTCTCTTTTTCCCTTGGGTTTCAAGGCTTCAGAGCTTCGAATGCCCTTTCCCTCGCGTTAAAATTCTGCTACTGTCTCTTTCATGGGTATCTTCCGCGCCTTTGCCATCTCATCACTCAGCTTCTCTGATTCTTTGTCCCTTCTTGGTTTTTTTTTTTCTCTTTATTATTTTTCTTTTTAAATTAAAGTCAAAACTGCCAAAAAGTCCAAATTCGTTAATTAACAAATATCAACTGTTTCTATTTAAATTAATGTAGAAATTATTATTATTATTTTGTTTCTTCTTTAACAAACATAATATTTCTTCACAATAACTAAGTACCAGTGGTGGATTTAATCCCTACGATGAATAAGGTTTAATTATAGTTTTAGTCCTCTTATCCTGTTTAAATTTAAGCTTTAATCACCCCAAATTAATTTATGGAGTATACTTTTATAATGTTATTATAGATCCTTGTATTAACGGTTAATTTATAACAATATTATTAATATTAATTGATAAAATGAAAAATCCACGTCACTATTCTGATAATAACAATTGCCAATGTTTATCAATTTTTAATAATTACGTTATAAATTATAGCAAATAATTGAAGCGACGAAACCTCCGGTGTTAATAGAATAGGGACTAGAAATTTTCATACAATCGTTTCTTTATTTATCATATTAGAATACTTTAATTCGATTCTCGAATTTTTCATATTAATTTTGAATTTTTATTTTTTTAGACTTATATTTTATGATTTTACGACATATTTGGTAAAAATTCAAGATTTTCTCATAAATATTATTAAAAAAATAATTTCATCAGTAAATAAAAATAATTAATAATGTATGCTTTTAAATTATTTTTACTATTTGAAGTAAAATAATTTGGATAAATTATGCCAATAGTCCGTTTTGTTTTCGGTTTGATCGATTTTGGTACTGGTTTTTTAAATAACAGTACTTGGTTTCTTAAGTTATCTCTTTTCCGTGGTAGCAGTTACGCATGCTGACACGACCGTGATATAGTGGCCGCAATACCGTTATTTGAATCCCTGGCTGTGTGCTTCTTCTCCACCTTCATTTGCTGTTAATGGAGCAACCAAGTTTTCAAGACCCAGTGTTGCTTCAACTTCAAAAACCGGAGTCCAATCTTCAAGCTCCAATTCCCTGCAAGATCGTCGAAGAAAGCAATCCAATATGTTCATGCTTCCTCCAAATCTATTGGAATGGTAACAACGCAAAGGGTGGATGTGAGCGAGAACTTGACACTGGAGGCCGTAAGGTACTCGTTAATCCGACAAGAGGACAGCATAATCTTTAGCCTTCTGGAGAGAATACTGTCAAAATGGGACTACATATGACCCTGATTCCTTCTCCATGGAAGGTTTCCATGACTCGAAACCGAAAAGCTTCATGCCCAGGTTGGCAGATACAATAGCCCCGGACGAGCATCCATTCTTCCAGGATGAATTATCAGACCCATTGTTTGCAGGAACTGTGGATCAATATGAACCCCAAAGATGACGGAAACTGTGGATCTACTGCAATTTGTGACACCATGTGTTTGCAGGCTCTTTCGAAGAGGATTCATTACGGGACATTTGTAGCAGAATGCAAATTCCAGGATTCTCCAGAAACTTATCAAGCTGCCATCAAGAACAGGATAGAGATGGGCTGATGAATTTGCTGACATACCCCAAGGTCGAAGAATCGGTCAAGATACGAGCGGAAATGAAAATCAGAACTTACGGACAGAAAGTACCGGTTGAAATCTGCAAAGACGATGACTGCCCAACTTACAAAATAAACCCAAGCTTGGTGGCCAACTAATCCAGCGAGTGGATCATGCCATTGACAAAGGAAGTCCAAGTCAAGTACCTGTTGAGAAGGTTAGACTAATCCCAAGGAAATTAAGCGCTGTTGTGAGAAAGGACCAAGGATCAAAATGTATAGATAATAAAGTTTCCAGTTTCTGTTCATTAACAGTTTGATGACATATCGTGTTGAGATTGATGATGATATGGAATAGGCAACAACTAACAACCCAAAATTCACTGTTAACGTCTACTCTTTATTCCTAACAGTTTGATGCTGAGGTCTTTAACAATGGCGGAAAGAGCTTTTGAGTTTGAATGGATAAAAGTTAGGATTGCATGGGACGTGAAGAGCAGAGAAAAAAGAGTGGAGGAATAGGAAGTTGAGGTGACGGTTGGTAAACTATTGGTCCACCCGATTAAAGAAAACTAGACGGTGTTGTTTTTGTTATATTTTTTTTATTGTTATGGGTTTAAGAAGGGGAAGAAGAAGAAAGCAATGTGGTTTTTTTTAATTTTATTTTAATTGTCAACTCAAATTTCCATAGATGAGTTAACAGAAATTATCGGTCGAAGAACCTACCGAATGGACCAATAAGGTAAAAGACCCAACGCACTTAATTAAAAAAAAACTGATGACCATAATCGGTCAGACTGAAAACAAAAGAGATTATTAACACAATTTACCCAAATAATTTTTATCATAAACCATTCATCTAAACATTTCCATTCGACCCGATTTTTTACTTTATCGGTTCTACCCTACAAACTGTAGGGTAACATAAAATAGGAAGGATTAAAGGTAAAAATAAAGGAAAGATAAAAATAAAAATTCACTGCTCTTTACAAAGTACAGATTAAAATTCGAGAATGCAGATAAATTAGGTGTTTTCCGTAAGAAAGAGTACCTCAACATTTGACACTCAGACGAGGAGACCCTCTGTTTGTCTGCTTAGCTAGTTTATACTTGCTTATTGGTCTCAGAGAAACTATTTATATTACAAAATAAGTTAGAACTAAAGGAACATCAGAGCATTCAGCAGTGAAATTCTGCACCTCATGTCCTCTTGAAGAACCTACCACCTCTCTTTCCCATGCCGGTTCCTACAAGGCTCGATACGAGCAGTGATTTCGCATCCGGTCTCCACCTCAACTCTTTAAGAATAGCAAACAAGGTTGCAAGTGCGGGAGTTATGTCACTTTCCTTTACGTTCTCGCATGATACCACTGTAAGACTCTCGAGGTCATGCCAGGAGAGAATCACTGCTTCCAGACCTTCAGTCGTCAACAACGAGCATCCTTCTAAAGATAACAATTTTACTCTCCTGTGACAAAATAAACCAACTACTGTAGAACACTCGATCAAACGCATTTCAGATATGTCAACTTTAATCTCCTCTGACAAAGAACCAACTTTACCATCAATGTGATGGTAAATTGATCGATGCTCATCATATAGCTACCTAACAAGAACTATAATCACGTATTTCAGCTATGAATCTAAACAAGCCTTCTCATACATTTCAATAACCAGTTACCCTGTAAATTGTAAGCAAAAAACAGGGTATTTACCCGAATGGTAAAAGAAGCATTTGCAAAACATATGATTGCATTTATCCAGTCCAGCCCAATGACCCGTATTTAATCGATAACCCGTGCATTATAGGCAACATATTACTCGAACAATCAACAAATGGTTCATCGTTGCCACACGAAACAACCCTTTTCCTTTCCGTCTTTCGGGCCATGTCAATGGGCACAAAAGAATTCCAGAAGTGAAATATCGAAACTAAATGATTCCCTGACCAACTCTATATTCCATGAATACACAAAATGAGACAAAAAATATGCAAAGGAAGTCGTAAAGAACAAAGTAAATGCAATCCGATACCTGCAAACACTTGCAAACCTGAACATATCATTATCCAATCCCCAGCAGTCCTGAATAACAATCTCTCTCACTGTTTCACATACTCTAAACAGTGCTCCCACACTCTTTTTACTCCGCAATTGACACTTCTGCAAATGCAACCGCTCAAGGGCCCGGCAAAACCCCAAATACTCGTCCCGACCTGGACTCCAATCAATCCTCTTACAAGACAACAACTTCAAAGTCTTCAAGTTCTCACAATAAGACAACCCAGCCAACCATCCATCATCCATTTTATGATCACAAATGGTCAATTCTTCAAGCATTAAACAGCATTGCCCGATTGCTTTAATCCCATCAAAACTCCCTTCACATCCATTAAGCTCAAGCTTAACCAACCTTTTGCATCCTTGAGCTAAGATAGTTAATCCAATGTCGGTAACAATCGAGGTATAGAGTCCATCAACGTTTGCAACGAGTTTCAAGATCTGCAAATTCGCACAGGCCGCAATCCCGCGTAAGACATTGTCGTTACACTTGTGTAACTCCAGTTCTTGCAAAGTCAAACACTCTTCGGCCACTGTTAACAAACCAAACTCACTGGCATTTATAACCATGAGTCTTCGAAGATTTGGACAGCCACTGGCAAGTGCTTGCAGCCCTTTGTCAACAACTTCGACAGGCAACATATTCTCTTGCAAGAACTTGCAATTCGGACAAAAGCCAGAACTCATTCTCATCGAAACCAGCCTATGAGTTAACAGAATCCCAGAATCTCGCGGCGAAAAGAAACAGCCGTTGAGCAAATCCACGTGGGTTAAGTTGGGGAACCTCGTGAACAACCGACCTGATTCGAGAAAATCCCAATCCAGGATCTTCAAGGACCGTACAAGGCGGCCTTGGAGATTGAGCCACCGCTTGCAGACGAGGGAGTTAGGATTCCGTTGCGGACGGGGAAGCCTTGAGAGGATATCCAAGAGGAGCTCGTCGGACAAGAGCAGGGTTCGGTCAATGTTGGCGAAATTGGGGATTAGGGCTTGCGATTTGGGGTCTTTTGAAGATAAAGACTGAAGGGGCATAGTGAAGACCACATGCTTCAAAGGCTTGGTGTTTCTGAGCCAAACGTCTGACCATCTCGGCTTCTTCTTCTTCAACGGCGAATCCACATTCTCCTTCAAAGCCGACATCGTTTCAGTCAATGCCTTCTTCTTCTTTGCCACTAAATCTAACTCGTTTTGCCTACTTCACCGAAATACCATCCCCATCATTTCCTGCAAAAAAGGGGTAGGTTTTGAAATCCCGTGAAATGATTTGAGATTTTATATATTTTTGGGGTGGTTTGAGGATAGAGAGAGACGATCTGCGTTCCACTTCAGCCTGAAGAGTCAAAAGCCAAGACTGCACTGCCTGCCCAACGGATTTCTTGAAGCGGTGGGGTCGGGAGTTTTTTGAATCTTAAACTTCCTTCTTCTCTTTTTGTTTTTATTTATGATTTAGAAAAATTGTTATCTTCTCTGCTATAAGCTTTTTTGGTACTACTTTACGCTTTATGAAAATACACCAAATAGATTATATTATACAAATACATTTAATGATATGCTTGTAAGAAGTTTTGTAAATGTATTTTTTTCTAAAAATAATGTATATATCTTAATTATATAGGGGTTTTAATCTTTAGATTTTTTATTTTAAAAATTATCTAAATAAATAAATATTAAAATGTTCAGAAAATAAAAATTATCTAAATGAAACAGGCAGCTATGTTTAATAGGCAAATGTTTCCTTTTCGTGTCTCTTTTATATTCTAATGGTAATTGCTCACAACAGTTAGATCTGTTACGGACATTCCTCAAGGAAAAAAGGTTGTTGGCTGTAAATGGATTTTTACTATAAAGTATAACTCAAATGGTAGCATCCAACGATACAAAACGAGACTAGTGGCCAGAGGCTTTACACAAACATATGGGATAGATTTCACATAAACTTTTGCACCTGTGGCGAAGCTGAATACTGTTCGAGTACTCCTAAGTTTGGCTGTAAATTGCGATTGGAAATTACACCAGCTTGATGTAAAAAACGTTTTTCTTAATGGCAAGCTAGAAGAAGAAATCTATATGAAGTTGCCATCTGGCTTAAAGTCTGTTGAAGGAAGTAACAAGGTGTGCAAGCTCAACAAGTCTCTATACGGGTTAAAACAATCACCCAGAGCTTGGTTCGAGAGGTTCACTAAAGTTATCCTAAAAAACGGCTACAAGCAATCCCTCGCCGATCACACTCTTTTCATCAAGGTAACTTCTACAAATAAGAAAGCTATCCTTATTGTGTACGTGGATGACATAATTCTTACCGGAGATGATGAAGAAGAGATTTACAATTTGAAGAAGTTGTTAAATAAGGAATTCGAAACCAAGGACTTGGGAAAGCTAAGGTATTTCCTAGGAATGGTGGTGACAAGGTCAAAAGAAGGACTTGTGATCAACCAAAGAAAATATGTACTTGATTTACTCAAAGAAACTGGTTTTCTTGGTTGTAAGCCGAATGATACACCAATGGAGGCAAGCTTGAAATTTAACAAAGAAGATGGGTCATTAGTAGACAAAGAGAAATTTCAAAGATTAGTTGGGAAACTAATTGATTTATCCTTGACAAGGCCAGATATAGCATTTCCTGTAAATGTGATAAGTCAACACATGACTAATCCTACTGAAGAGCATATGGGAGCAGCAAATAGAATTCTCAAGTACTTGAAGAAAACTCCAGGACACGGTTTAATGTTTAAGAAGACACAAGACAGAACTGTTAAGATCTTTACAGATTCTAGTTGGGCCGGAGACCTTACTGAAAGGAGATCCACCAGTGGCTATTACACCTTTGTTTGTAGAAACCTTACAACTTGGAGAAGTAAGAAACAATCTGTCGTTTCAAGAAGTAGTGCTAAAGTTGAATTCAGAGCACTAGCATTGGGAATATGCAAAGGAATTTGGCTACTTAAACTACTGAAAGAACTTGTCACTAATCAAAAGGATCACTTTGAAGTTTTGTGTGATAATCAATCTGCTATTCAAATTGCCAAGAACCTAGTTCAACATGATCGGACAAAGCATGTTGAGATTGATAGGCATTTTATTGCTGATCAAGTTAACAAAAAGACTACCACACTTTCATACATTTCTTCAGAAGAACAAGTTGCAGACATTCTTACGAAGGTTTTGTCAAAGCATGTTTTCAATAAATTCCTATTAAAGCTGGGATTATACAATGTATATTCTCCAGCTTGAGGGGGAGTGTAGGAATTATAGAAATATATGATTATATAAATATCCTTTAATTAAGGGATTCTGTAAATATTTATATCTCTTATTTTAAGGGATCATATCTCCTAGGATTAGTATTTTTCCTTTCTTAGAGTTTCATACTTTATAGAGATTATTTGTATATAAATATGTAATCTGTCCTATTGAAAAGAATAAGAAATTTTAGAGAATTACTCTGATTTCTACATTAATCTTTTTTTAGAGAAAGAGTGTTATCAAGAATTGGGGTATATTCTTAAGGGTGTTGTAAGGTTATCTCTTTGGCCTCAAAAGAAAGAACAAATTAGTGAATTTATTAGAAAATCCTTAGTGTGGATAGCTAAGGTAGTGGACGTAGACTTTGGTTGAGAAAGTCGAACCACTCTAAATCGCTGTGCAAATCTTTTCAATTTTCTGCAAAAACTTCCACCAAAATTTTAATTACCAATTCACCCCATATTTTCCAATTCCATCGATCGATTAACTCAACAATTGGTATTAGAGCCTTACTCATTTGAAGGTTTAATCGCCTCTTGAGTCGATTCGGGAATAGTTACATCGATTATCAAGTCATCAATGGCCTCTACTTCAAATATCAACTCCGGTTTCGATCCGATGCCCGTCAACAAGCCTCCTTTCTTCGATAGAGCTAACTATGCTTATTTGAAGAATAGGATGATGTATTTCATTCAAGCAAGTGACATGGGAGCATGGAATACTATAGAATACGGATATATCAAGCCTCTCACCCATCCAAGATTGTGGAGTGAATGAGAGACAAGAATGTTCCAGCTCAACTCCAAAGCCATCCATATCATATTTTGTGCTCTTGGACCAGATGAATATGGAAGAGTTTCATCTTTTACAACTGCCAAATAAATATGGGATAAACTACAAGTCACTCATGAAGGCACCGACGAGGTAAAAAAATCTAAAATTAGTCTTCTAACACATAGCTATAAAAATTTCAGGATGAAATCAAATGAAGATATCAAAGCTATGACGGATAAATTCTCAACGATTGTCAATGGTCTCAAATCATATGGAGAAATCATTCCAAATGAAAAGCTTGTGAGGAAGTTAGTTTACTCACTTCTAAAATCGTGGCAATCCAAGAAGACGACAATCATCGATGCTAAAAACCTAAAACCCTTAACTCTTGAAGAGCTAATTGGTTCCCTCCTCACTCATAAAATGATGCTTGAAGATGATGTGGACCTCGATAAGATTGATGAGACACCAAAGGAGAAGGAGAAGAAGAAAAACATTGGAGTTGCTCTCAAATCCACAAAAGATGAGAGTGATTCGGATGAAGATGACGATGACGAGGAAATGGTATTGTTTGCCAAATGGTTCAGAAAAATGATGAGACCTTACGGATAAAGAAAATTCAAACGAAATGAATGCCTCAAAAATGAACCAAAAGAGAAGGACCCTATCATTTACTATGAATGCAAAAAAGCCGGGGCATGTCAAATATGATTTCCCACAATTGAAGAGAAATGGTCAATCAAAGAATAAGCACAAGGCTCATGTGGCTACATGGAGCGATGAAGAAGGTTCCGATAAAGAGGAACAAGAAGTATCAAACTTGTGCTTGATGGCATTCGGGGAAGATTCTAAGGTAAACTCTAACTCATCTGAATTAGATGATTTATCTTATGATGAGTTATTAGAGGAATATAATGGGTTGGCTTCATATTATGAGAAATTGTTTTTAAAATATAAAAATGATGTCTCAAAATTGAAAAATGAAAATAAGCTCATATCCAAGACCAACAATGATTTTGAAAGTAAAATCAAAGATTTGCAAATCAAACTAGAAGAGTTTGAAAAGAAAAATTCGGATTTTCAAAATTACTTTCAAAGGTCAATGATGATCATCAAAAGAAAATTGATGATCTTAAAGCTTCTTTTGATAAAGTTGGAACAAAACGTTTTGAAAATGGAGAAAATTCAAAATTCAACTTTTTTAGAAAAAGTTTTAAAAACTATAATCATAGAGGTCCCCAAAGAACCTCTGATGGAAAAATCATCAGAAGTATATGGTTTCCTAAAAGACTCATTACTACTAAAGATAAGAATATCCTACACAAATGGATACCTAAGGGGACTAGGATTTTGGAAACTAATGAATATGGACCCAAAAGAATTTGGGTACCAAAAATTAGAAATTAATCTATGTTTGTAGGAAAAGGAGCATTGCTACAAGGCACGGGAAACAAATTCAAACTCATGGTACCTTGATAGTGGATGCTCAAGACACATGACCGGGGACAAAAGCCGGTTCATAGAGCTTAACGCCAAAAATGGAGGAGAATTGACTTTTGGTGATAATTCAAAAGGTCACATTGAAGGTATAGGTACAATAGGTAATACATCTTCCATACAAATTAAAAATGTTTTTTTATGTGAATGGGTTTAGTCAATTATGTGATAAGGGATTCAATGTCATGTTTGAAACTAATGGTTGTAAAGTCATTGACATTACATCTAATCGGATTATGCTTGTTGGTCATAGAATATAAAATATTTACATGGTGCATTTAGACTCTATTGATATGACTAATTTATGCCTAGTTGCTAAGGATGAGCATGATAGTTGGTTATGGCATAGGAGACTAGAACATGTTAGTATGAGCGTTTTGCAACGGCTAATTCAAGGTGATTTAGTTCGAGGGTTGCCTAAACTAAAATTTGATAATGATAAAATCTGTGATGCTTGTGCTAAAGGAAAACAAAATCGAGTTTCTTTTAAATTCATTAACGATGTATCAACTAGTAGAGTATTACAATTAATCCACTTAGATCTTTTTGGGCCATCTAGAACTACTAGCTTGGGTGGAAAACAATATGCATTTGTCTTGGTAGATGACTATTCTAGATATACTTGGGTTCTATTCTTAAGTACTAAAGATGAAGCATTAGAAAAATTCATCACGTTTTCAAAAGTAATCCAAAACAAA